TTTTCAAGTCAAGAGACCAGGACATGAGATGACCTGGAAGTTTTCAAGCCTTGCGTCTAAAGTGGTCTTCAAAACTTCCAACCTAGCCTACTACACCAGGACATGAGATGACCTGGACGTTTGTTGCAGTTCAACCTAGACACAAGCCGGTCCAGAAGACTAGTCAGGCCACAAGATCTGGACATTTTCAAGGTTGCAATACCTAGATGTTTTCAAGGCTTGTACTTGACCAGGACATCACATGACCTGGACATTTGCAAGAGATGGAATTGATCAGAACATGAAAAGACCTGGACGCTGTCAACAAAGCCTACCAGACCTAGACATTTCTAAGGCGTTAACCAAAGATCAGGACATGAGGTGACCTGGACAACTAAAAAGGATAAAGCCGGTTACTTCTTTTGACTTGGAATCAAGCATATTCAAGAAAATAGTCAACCAAGCCAGTGAGGCCTGGGCGTTTTCAAGACCAGGACATGAGATGACCTGGGCGTTTTTTAAGACGATTCCTAAGGTATAAGGCCGGTTAGTCTTATTGACTTGGAAGTTCATTCAAAGTCGATCAAGAAGAAGAAAAGAAAAGCAATAACCATGCATAGAAAAGGACAACCATGCAAACTGAAAGAAGAAACAAGCCGGTAAATTGAAAACCATGCCAAAAAAAAGACAATATTAAACAAGTCAGAAGTAGGCCGGACATCCCCCAGGCCTTGGGAAAATTCAAAGTTTTTTAAATTATCTACCCTAACCTACTACAAAGGGAAAGGGGGGGCTGGCTCTTCCTTGTACAAAGGAGGAAGCTTCATCTTGGCCGGGTCAAATGAAGGGTCCCTCTTCTGGAGCCTGGCATAGAGAAGGGACCTCTCATCCTTCTGGCCACACTGGAAGCCGTATGACCCGATCTCAGTTATCATCCTCATGCCCTCTGGTTCCTTGTACATGGTCTTGAAGAAGGCCATTGTCTCCTCTGGCCCAACTAGAATGGACCGGGCAGTCTCGACATGATGCCCGGCCGCCCATCGTGCAGCATCATCAGGAAAGGATTGCTCCTTTGACCGGGCAATCTCTTCAGCTTGGGCCAAGGCATCCTCCAGCTCTACCAACTTCCTCTTCGCCTCCACCAGGTTGGCTCTTTCCTCGTCTAGCCTGGCCCTCTCTTCCTTCAGCTCCTCTTCAAGTCTCATCTCCCTCTCGGCCCGGTCATTGATCTCCAACTTGGCAGAATCAAGAAGGAGGGTAAGTTCGGAGACCTGGTCCTTGGACTCCAGGAGTGACCGGCCAACTTCTTTGGATAGAACTCCAACCTGGAAAACAAGCTTGTCAGTAAAAGCAAAGGAAGTAATTAAACCGGGAGGAAAATCAGAGTTGGTACCTTGCTGAGTTTCTGGGCCAAGGATAAAAAAGTCACTTCAATGGACTCCCCTTCTAGATCTGATAGCCTGACCTTCTTCCTCTTTTCCCCCCTGGAAGTCTTGTGGGAACTCTTCCTTTTCTGAGAAGAAGAATGACCGGTCCCCTTCCCTTTGGCCTTGACATCCTTCTTGGGATAAGGGACCCGGTCACTTTCGGAGAGATGGGTGGCTGGAGGAGAGTTCAGTTTTTGGCTCTGGATAGGGCTACACCGGGCACTTGTGGCTCCATCCATTTCAGGGAAGTAAGGAGAAGAGGGAGGCTTGGAGAGAGGAGACCGGTTGGAGTTGAGGACTTGGACATCATCGTCATCATCCTCAATGATGGTGGTCATCCTGTTGAAGTTCATGTCTGAAAAAAGAACAAAAGCAACAAGTGACCGGTTAGATTTTATACCTTATCAAAAAGAAAGTGAAACCAAAAGGTTGAGTAAAGTTAACCAACCTGGATGA